CTTAATAGTTTCATGTTTGCTACTGAAATTATTTTATTTCATTCGTGGTCGCTAATATTAGTTTAATAGTTCAAGTCGCTCTCTGTTAACTTTATCTGACGTGACAATCAACTCTGAGAGTTGACAATTAAATAAGTGACGTGGCAATTTAAAAATAAAAAAATAATAAAAATTTCACCTCATTATCACAATAAACTAAAACATACACCTGTGTAGCCAAAACTTTGATAGTTTGGCCAAATATAGCCACGTTTGGCGAAATACCAAAAATAGTCACTTCCATCCAATTGTTTGACTGTATTAGTTAACGTGCTGACTGGATTAACAGCAACGGATGACGTGGCATATTTTATTCAAAAATAATATTAGATGGAAAATAATCAAAATTTTATCCTTTATTTTAATCAAATTAAATAAAAAATAATAAACACTTCTCGTGACAGTAGAAACAATAAAAAAATCCTTCTCTCCACCGAAAATCCCTCTGCCATCGCAATCTCAGAAAATCCCTCATCTTCATCGCAATCCCAACCTTAGAATCTCCCCCTATTGAATCGATGGTCGTGTTGGTCCTCTCTGAGGAGGAGGCGAACGTTGCGGCAGTGGTTGCGGAGCTATCGTTCATGGTGCTTCTACTCGACGAGGAGCAAGAGATGCAGGATCCAGGATCTTCCGACCACGATGAGCGACGACCTTTCATTATATCCAGACGAACGAACCCACTTTCTCCGTCGAGAGACGAACCCATCCGGATCGACAAACCCACCATCGCGAAACCCCCTTTTCTTAAGGACGGGTCGATGTTGCATATAGATTATGTTGTGGGAAGATCTTCTAAAGGACGACGATGGTGACTTCTCCAACGACTTCCAGCTCTCGATTGGTGGCAAAACTTGTGAACAATCCGTTTCTCGGGCGTGCGTGGCCAGTGATGGCTCCGGCAGCTCCGGCCTGGCATCGGAAGAGAATTGAGCGTTGGACGACATCGAAGGAGAATTGAGCGCCAGATCTGAAAAGTCCAACTAGAATCAAGGGCCAGATGTGAAGCACCCATTAAAATCGAGGGCCAAATCTACAATAAATATATTTACATCTCTGAACTCACTTGACACTTCTATGCCGCTTAGTCTCCTTCATCGGCGTTGTTGTTGTTGTTACCGAAATTGATTGGCTTGGATTCCTCTGTCCCTGGAAAAGACGACAGCGGCCCGGAATCAGATGAGAAGAAGAGTTATGCGAAGGCGGCGGCGGCGGCTCGAATTGTGGTCAGTTATCGAGAGGCTGGGATCGAACACTGCCTTAGAGAAATGGTTGGAGTAGCTGCCGCCTCATCCTCCTCTCTCTCTCTATTCAGAGCGGATTATTTGCAGTTGATTAATAGTGATCGCGATGGGATGAGTGGTGGTGGGTTGCTAGGAGAGAAGAAGAGGTGTCTTGGAAGCAGATTAATGGTGTTTGATGATGGGAGGAGGGGAGGTGGGTTGCTGGAGGAGGAGAAGAAGAGGGTTCGAGGAAATTAGGGATGAGAAAAACAATTTTCTTCTAAATCGCGTGTCGTCCACTGGTCAGTGAATGCTGAGGTGGAAATGAGAGAGAGGGTGAGTTGGCAGCCAGGTCAGCATTTTGTTAATTTGACTAACTGTGTCACTAACACTGTTAAATTATGTAACGGAAATGACTATTATTGTCATCAAACTTTTAAAATTCTGACTAATATTAGTATTTCCCCAAAAGTAGCTATTATTGCCACAAACGTCAAAGTTATGGCTACACAAATGAATTTTGCCAAAAAAAAAAAAAATTGTACATGAAGTTTCAAATAGCAAAGAGAAGAACGGAGAAAATTGATTTTCATGTCTAGTGATTCTTCCGCAACCCTCGTCGTTGATATCAGGAGCCATGATAGATGGGATGAATCAATGATGAAGAACCCTAAATCCCTGCCACTTGCTCTGATACTATATGAGGTTTTGGAGAAGAGAAAAATGGGGAAACACGATCTTCAAGCTCAATAATATTCTACATCTCCATACCTTGGAAAAGCAGATTGCTTGAACCAGTGATGTCGCGCCGTCACAGCCACACCACTCCAAAAGTTCGCCGATTGCTTAATGCCCAAATTTATAATAAAAGATTGAGGGGTTGCAGGTGATTTGGTTCGGAAGGTAGTAGCTAGTGATATTTCTTTTGGCATCAATGGAAAAGGGGAAGATGAAGAATCAGTGATCTCCTCCGAGCACCGGAAAGCACCGTTGGGTTGCAGGCATCGGAGATTAGTTTCTTTGAGCTCACCTGCCACAAAAAGCACCGAAAACTGGTTTTTGGTTCGTACCTCCCCAGTCCCCGCCCCACCTTCTTTAATAGATTAAATTTTAATTTTTTAATTAATTGTGAGAATGAGGTGAAATTTAAAAGATCAAATTTTATTAATTATTAATTGTCTTTCACTTATTTAACGATCAACCCTCAGAGTTTACTGCCACGACAGATAAGTTACCGGAGACTAACAGAGAGTTATCAAACTTGAACTGTTGGACTAATCTTAGTGACTACGAATAGAATTAATTTTAGTGGCAAACGTGAAACTATTTAGTAATTCTAGTGCAAGCAAGAGAGACCGTGCAAGCAAGCAATCGAGTGCTTCACATTGTTGCGAACCCGAAATCTAACAACAAACTTAAGTACGCCAAAGAGTTCTGAAATATAACTTTCAACACGCAATAGAGATGAGAAAAAATGACTTCACACTATAAGCACAAAAGAGCCAATAAAAATGTCGCAATCAACACTTGCCCTCTCTACAAGCAAGTAGGTAAGGCCATCTTAAATTCAAGACCCCAAATTTGGGGACCTTCATTATTTCTAGTTTTTGTTTACTTAAAAATGTACATATTATCATCTTAATATAATTTGTTCATGTTAATTTTTTATAGTTTGTCATCATTTTTAAATACAAAATTTTCGATAGAATTTTATCAAATTCCGAGACCACATTTTTTTGGGGAAAAAATGATTGGCCTAAGTTGGGTTTACACACACAAGGCCAAAAATAATAGTTCAAATGATACAACAACCAACTAATGTCGACAGATATATTCCAATCCTAACTGAGTACTTGGCTAGGAATAATAGGCTTCGTGCTGCACCAACACATCATGGGCTTCGTTAGGACTTGGTCGAGCATATTTGGAACTTGCATGGAAATAATTAGTCATTGTTGTTGCTTGGTATCGATGTTGGGATGCATTGTAATTCAATTAAAGTTGTAGTTGGTGACAATTTTTTTTAATTTTATTTCAAGAATGCATTTTCATTTCAATAATATATTTTCCATTCTTAGTTCGGTCTAGTTTTTGTTTACACACAACTTTAAGATGATAAACATACATTTTAAATAAAATGAATTCAATTTAAGTAATCTTATCAAATAAAAGAAATTAAACAAAATATTAAAAACAAACTAAATCCAAATTAAAGAAGGCTAAATAAAATACAAAACAAGAATTCCCATTCCCTTAATTCACATCCCCTTAATTAACACCTTTCCTTTCTTCCCTTAATTAATTACATTAATTAGCAAGCAATTAAACAAAAAAAATTAAGCTCTGTTGGGCGGGACAACACCAGCGCTGGGCGTAGGGATGTCAATCCAACCCGTAACCATGGGTACCCTACCCGACCGTAACCGGTCAACGAGGGTAATTACCCGCTTTGACGGGTTAAGGGGCGGGTACGGGTAATACCCGGTTTCAAAATAAAGGGTAGGGTACGGGTATGGTAATCGATAATACCCGCCCCGTTATACCCGCCCCGCTAACCAAAGGGTCAATTTCCCTTGAGAAATTTATTTTAGCTTGAGAAATTGAGTTTAGCTACCGTTATTGATGATGAATATGTAGACGATTATTATGTTTGTGTGGATTGTAGAAGCAAGAACAATTATTATGTGTTTGTTGTTTTTATTTGTGTGGATTGTTGAAGCTAGAACAGTTACAACTTACAAGTATTGAGAATTTTTAATGGACAACAGTATATATGTGCATATATGTGTATAAGTTCATAGTTTAGAATTCGTACCCATGGTTACCCGAATACCCGTGGTTACCCGGTGGGTAGGGTATGGTTATATCAATTTCATACCCGGTGGTTATTTGATCGGGTATTTTAGAAAGCTCTACCCGGCGGGTTAGGAGTTGGTATAGGGTAAACCCGCACCCGACCCTACCCATTGCCATCCCTAGCTGGGCGGTGCGCCGCACGCGCTAGGGAGAGCCGACCCAACCGTGCTTCCATTCCCCATAAATGTCGAGCTCGACATTCCCTCCCCCATATTTAGCGACGCAATTGTCGATGCCCTCCATAAATGCCGATCTTCGTCATTTTCGGCTCCGCGTTGGAGCTCCAAAATCGCCATTAATAGCGAGAACCCCATAAATGCAGGCTGCATTGGAGTCAGCCTAATGTAAGTCCATGGCAGATGAAAGGCAGTACAACATATATCAAAACTTTCGATAATTTTAATTTTGTTTTGCGCGTGCGGCGCACTGCCCAGCACTGGCGGTTGTCCCTCCCAGCCGTGCTTCTATTCCCTATAAATGCCGAGTTCGGCATTCCCTCCCCCATATTTAGCGACGCAATTGCCGATGCCCTCCATAAATGCTGATCTTCGCTATTTTCGGCTCTGCGTTGGAGCTCCAAAATCGCCATTAATGGTGGGAATCCCATAAATGTAGGCTGTATTGGAGTCGGCCTAATATAAGTCCATGACAAATAAAAGCTAGTACACATATATCAAAACTTCCGATAATTTTAATTTTGATTTGGGTTTAGGTGTTTAAACTACAAATAAATAACTAAAAATATTTAAGTAAAATAAACTTTTTTTTTATAATTAAGTAAAATTAACTTAATTAGGACGACGAATAAGGAATTTTAGAACGCGTATACCAATCCCCTAAATTAAGTCAGTAAATGCAATTCACCCTTAAAAAAACATGGGAAAGATATTGGTGCTGGTAGCTTATCCAGAAAATAGAAAGTCAGCCTCACTTCCAAGTTCCAAGTTCCAACTCCAGTTGCACTCGGCGGCTGGGGGATCTCCTTCATCCGCATTCAAAGTTGTAACCGCTCAAAAGCTTCTCATTTCTCTTCGATCCGCAAATTCCAACCATGGTTCTCTCCCAGTGGCTCTCCCGCTTCCGCATCGCTTCGCAAACGGCCTTCTCCACTCTCCGCAACTCCTCTTCTTCTTCTCCCTCTCCCTTCCGCATCTTCCGAACGCATACCAGTTCCCTCGCCGCCTACTCAGTCGATTCCGGCGGCGCACGGAAGCCGCCTTTCTCCTTTCTTTGGCCCGCCTCCCTGGTTCCTCTGAGTGTTGCTCTGATCTCTGCCGGCTCTCTCGCTGCTCAGCCGCAGCCTTCCCTCTGCGATCATGATTCGAATCTCGAGAATCATCCTCGGTGCTCGTTTGTTTCCTTTTCTTTTGAAAATTTGTCGTGTTCCTTTTGTTTTTATTTTGATTTTACTCCGTTTGTTTGCCGGTTCGCCATTGATTGCGATGGTTTCGCTATGTGGTGGAATGCAGCATTGGAGGCAAAGGTAGCACGGATTTCGTGGTGAAAGGTTCGCACAAGCAGGTTCCAAAAGAGTTGCTCGACGAATTAAAAGCTATCTGTCAGGTATTGCTTCAATTGTTTTCCCGCTTCTTTTGGTGAGCTGCCTTTCCGTTTCATTCGGGATTTGTTGCACGTCAATGGAGGAGTACGTTCCTTTTTGGGGCTGGATTGCTGGGACATATGGTTTATGGTGTTAGTTTTACAGGATAAAATGACCTTGGATTTTGATGAAAGGTACTTCCACGGGAAGCCACAGAATAGCTTCCACAAGGCAGTAAACATCCCCGACGTCGTTGTTTTTCCAAGGCAGGTTTCGCACTCGACCCTAACTTTTATTTTTCCTGCTTACATTTTGTAGTGCTTAGCTGGAATAGTTTTCTTGCTCTAGTGATGCTCTTACTTGGTTGGTGAAGCTGCAAACTAACTAGAATAGTTCACTGTCCTGTTCGGTACGGAATTGCTGCTGAATGGTCTGTATCTTGCATTTCGATTTTCTGTAAGGCTTCTAAATTGTAGAATGCTACTATGAGCGCGCATAATTTGTTTAGCTTTTGCTTTTGTAATATGCTAATGTTTTCTACTACTGCAAGTTTGTTACAATGAAGTGTATTCTGAATTTGTAGGTCAGAGGAGGAAATTTCTAGAATTGTCAAATCTTGTAACAAGCATAAGGTTAGATACCCGTGAGATATATATCTGTTGAACGAGCTTCTTCCTTTTGCACGTTTGAGGAAGATTTATGAGATCTTTTTGCCATTCTCATCTGGCTCTGTCATTCAGTTTGGTGGTAAATCAGGAATACCTTCCTATGCCCAACTTACCTGATCTATTGCTTCTTGACCAGATACCTATTGTGCCATATGGTGGTGCTACATCAATTGAGGGTCACACCTTGGCACCTCATGGTGGTGTTTGTGTTGACTTATCTGATATGAAGGTATGTTTCATCACCCCTTTCTCTCCGTTTTTCCTTCTACCGTCAAGAATCTCCAGAACAGGTGAAGTACATACCTTTAATGGTAGCAATGCTCATTTCTCGCAGGTTATGAGAACATTTATAATCAATACCTGTTTTCATATAGCTGAAAATGAACTTTTTTTCTGGAGTGTGGGATTTATTCTCTGTATAGATTTGTTGCGCTGCTATGGAATCATGTGTCTATGAGTCTGATCGTTCCTTGAACACGTCCAAGGTATACATATATACATCTAACTATGCAAGTTCATGTCCACTAACATTTTGATGATTGTTTCCATTTAGAAAGTTAAAGCATTGCACGTCGAGGATATGGATGTGATTGTGGAGCCTGGGATTGGCTGGATGGAACTTAATGAGTACCTTGAGCCGTATGGTCTATTTTTTCCTCTAGATCCGGGTAACATACTTTACTATTCTCGATGCCCTAAGCAACAAATGCTGCAATGTGAGACAGTGTGACCTAGAACGATAAGTTCGACAACTATTCTGTTGCTGTCTTGGTAGAGCGCAGGAAACCTAAGGCCATAACTTTCAACCCGTTCTGAAATGCCTAGTTTTTGATAGGTCAAATTATGAGTCAAATGAAACATCTAAGCATGTGTTCATAATCAGGTCCTGGTGCAACCATTGGGGGAATGTGTGCAACACGTTGCTCAGGTTCGCTGGCGGCAAGGTACTCTTTCTACTGTTTGGGTGACAGCATCTATTGCTTGTTTTAGTTTTCTATAGAAAGAGCAAATTGGTGAAATTCCCATTTAGATATGTCAATTTTCTCTTCAAAAGCCTTTTTCAGTGGGACATGTAACTGGTCATAGATCATGAGATGCATGCAGAAGCTTAGTCTTTCTTAAAAAACTGTCTGATCCATATGTTAGGCTTCTGCATTATAGACTTCCCATTTAGGACGTCTCTGCTCTCTTCACATTCCTAAAGAAAAATGTATCTGCTCTCTCTCTCTCTCTCTCTCTCTCTCTCTCTCTTAGTTGTCTCCATCTCCAGTGATGCTGTCATTTCCAGAACACTTATTTCTTTTATTTCTGTTCCAGATAAGTCTTAACCTCAAAATTGCTTATGAATTTGATGATGCTTCTTTTGTTGGATTAATGAGTATTTTTAGCATTTAGGTACGGGACTATGAGAGACAATGTCATTAATCTCAAGGTTGGCTACTTCTCCTTATAGAGTTCTCTCATTAAGTGAATGTTTTTCTAATAAATTACAATGTTCAGGTTGTTCTTGCAAATGGAGAAGTGTTGAAGACGGCTTCACGTGCCCGGAAAAGTGCTGCTGGGTCTGCTCTTATATCATACTTAAGTTCCATTTATTGAACAGCAAATCGTACTATGTGATTGTTTTTTTCTTTTCATCCTGGTTTCCCTCTGTTTATTAGTTTGTTATGACTTAGGTATGACTTGACTCGTTTGATGATTGGAAGCGAAGGAACCCTCGGCATTGTAACAGAGGTCACTCTTCGACTCCAGAAGATTCCACCACATTCAGTGGTACTGTAGTTCTTCCCTTGTCTGAAGTCTCCTTTTTTTTGTTTTGCTGAGTCTTTTAGTGCTACAATCAAACCAGATGATTCCATCTCTTTTGCGAAATAATTTTGACAGCCATCTCTTTTGTATTAGAAACTAGAATGTTTATTACTTTTTAAATCACTCTCGTAATCTGTGATATGTTTTTTTGAATCTGTAAGCTCAACAAGAAGTAGGATGAATGAATAGCAGATGTGCGACAATAAGGAATTCCATTTGTTTTATTACCATATCGAGCTGGAGAAACAAGGAGTGTGTCTTATTCTGATCACTGGTATTCTATTATCCATTGGGTTCCTGTCATCCTGTAGTGACATTCAACCACTTCAAGTGGTTATGCATCCAAGGGTGTTTGATGTCTTTGTTCAATGCAAAACCTGATCTCTATGAATATGATTGACTACTCTTGTAACCTAGATGAATTACTACAATCGTAAACGATCAATTCAACATCATTGATGATTCTGGTGATAATGCAGGTGGCTATGTGCAATTTTCCAACAGTTAAGGATGCAGCAGATGTTGCAATTGCAGCTATGCTATCTGGCATTCAGGTAAACTGTTCATCATTGATTCGTTAGGGCCTCTACTTTATTTATGAATTTTCTCATGGTTTGCGCTACTAGGTATCTAGGGTGGAGCTATTGGATGAGGTTCAGGTGAAAGCTGTGAATATTGCCAACGGAAAGAACTTGCCTGAACTCCCTACTTTGATGTTTGAATTCACTGGCACAGGTAAAGACAGGTGTCCTTATTAAACCTTCTGTTAATATGTAACCACATCATTATGACACTTGAGAAAGGATGCTCCCTTTTGGGCTAAATGCGTCTTCTGTGTTCACTCGTTTTATGAGACACTATCACAAGTGAAGTTTAAGCGGCAGGGATGCCATATTTCTTGGTTTAGTAATAGGTTTCTCTGCTTTATCTGGAAAATGTGGCCACCTAATGATGAGCTACGGCTTTTCCTAAATAGTGATAAACAACAATGATGCCACTAAAGAATCATGACAAATAAACAGATATGATAACTGTATTCTCTTGTCTGGGTGCTCTACAATGGGATTATCATTTATACATGGAGAAACACATTTCTAGTGTTATACAAATCTTTAGAATTGTATGGTCTAACAAAGAGCTTATGGTGGAATTGAGTATAGGGAATAAATATATACAAAACCACTTTAATTAGTTTGTATTGAACTAATGAAAGAGAAAAAGGCAAAGCATGCATCAGAGGGAAGGAGGAAAACATTGGAGTTAGAAGAAAGGGGAAAGACGCTCGGCTTGAGCAGCCCAACGCGAGAGTCTATGTGAAATTGATATACACTACCATGTAAAATTATAATGGGGCTGTCCACACATGATCATAACCCTTCAATAAACCGTTCATTCATTATTTTTCGTATGCAACAGTAATCAACTAATCATACTTGCACTATTAATTATATACTTAATAATAATTTGCTTGCTTTCACTCATGCTTCCTCTCAAGTCCTGTGTAATGCATTGCAGAGGCATATGCACATGAGCAGACTCTGATGGTTCAGAAGATCGTTTTGGAACACAATGGCTCTGATTTTGTTTTTGCAAAAGACCCCGAGGCCAAAAAGGAACTCTGGAAGGTATGGTTGCTTGGAATGAGAGGCATACCATTCACTACCTTTGTCAGTTATTGTAGGGGCTGTTTACTTTTATCAAAACAGAGCAGGTCGTTTGGGCAAGATCGAAGGCTTGATCAAAGTTTCTTCTTACTCGGTTCTTTGCTTGCTTGGTCATCTATCACAATGTTGGGTGCAGGTAAGGAAGGAAGCTCTATGGGCTTGCTTTGCTATGGAGCCCAAATATGAAGCAATGATTACCGTGAGTTGATAGCTCTCACTTAGCTTTTTCCTTTTACAACCTCCAATCTCCCTTTCTTATTCCAACTGCTGTCTCTCTGTCCTGAATGCAGGATGTATGCGTTCCGTTATCAAAGCTTGGAGAATTGATCTCCAAGTCCAAAGAGCAGTTGGATGCATCGGACCTTATTTGGTATGAAGTAGTCCCTTGTGAAGTTGTTTGAAGATAATTCAAGTGGAGACATTTTTTTTCTGGTCTGGACACTTAAACCTTGTGTTGTTACTTTTCCCTTGCATGTTCTACCCCCTAAAATAACAGCACGGTTATTGCCCATGCCGGTGATGGAAATTTCCACACCGTGATTCTCTTTGACCCTAATGTGGAAGAGCAGAGAAAGGAAGCAGAGAGACTTAACAATATCATGGTTAACTCTGCCTTGTCAATGGAAGGTACAGCATTCATGTATGCAGCAGCTGTTAAGTTTGTCTGTATTCTATCCTTATCTTTTCATTATCACTGTTGAAACGCATGACCAGGAACATGCACTGGTGAACATGGAGTTGGGACGGGGAAAATGAAGGTAATGTAACTGCACTTATGCAGTAATGTCGTTCATTATCTCTTGTTTTAGCTATTCTCACCTTCCCAACCGGTTTGTGTGTTTTCAGTATCTGGAAAAGGAACTGGGGATCGAGAACTTGAAGACGATGAAAAAGATCAAAGACGCATTAGATCCCAACAATATAATGAACCCAGGAAAACTCATTCCACCCCATGTTTGCTTCTGAACTAGCAGCGCCGCTGCAGCCCTTGATATCTGCTTGCTTGAAGAAATATTTTCTATATGGTAATTTTGTACTCAACAAGCCAGGATCTATGTGCCCGAAGAAAGATTTTCTAGTTGGTACCATTAAGATCCAGGGTTCCTGCGACTGTGTAACACCCTAGGTGATCGAAGAAGTCTTGGCGAGCTCTAATGGCGGAAATGGGGTGAGAAGTGAGGAAGAAGATAACAGAATAGAGAGAGAAAGGGAAGAGAGAGATAGAGAGAGTAAAGGAGGGAAAATTGGTTTCGTATCCGTTAATAGCCGTTGGGTTCTTACATGCAGGTTATTTATACCTGTACGGAACAATTACAATTTAGTCCTTACAAGTCTTCCCGCCTTACAACTTCATCCTTTATCCGTTTTGTTCTGTACAATTAAGTTCTGATTGTTACAAACCCCTCTCCTTTAGCAAATACTTGACATCAAGTCTTGAATGTTGGAAATCGGATCTTCAGCTTTTCCAGATACTCACATGTTGCATCCTCTTCGTTTTGGTGAGTCCATTGAATCAACAATTGAGTGGTTGTTGCATTGTTTTTAGCCATATATCGTTGAGCTAATATGACTGTTGGCTCTATCTTCAATCCACCAAGGTCATCATAATCTGGCAGCACGGGCTGAGAAGTGATGGCGCTTCCATTATCCCGCTTTAACAAGGACACAAGGAAAACTGGATGGATGTTGGAACCATTGGGTAGCTTGAGTTTGTATGCAACAACTCTCGTCTTCTGCAATATATTAAAACGTCAATAGTACTTAGAAGATAGTTTCTGGTTACTTCTGTTCTGCACAATCATTTATCTGTAAGGCCTTAGTCGAGCTGAAATTCCCTTTCAGATCGGTGCTTGTCTGCCATTTGTTTCTGTCTATTTGTGCCATAGCCAAATTGTTCCTGAGAATACCAATAATCTCTGTTATTGCAACTTCTCATCAACAACTGCTATGGAGGTTGACAGGGGATTATGGATAGCAAATTGAACAGGAGGAAACCCGTACAATGCTTCTAAAGGAATCAACTTCAAGTTGTGATAATTGGTGTTATACCACCATTTTGTGAAGAATGATGTACCATAGCCCTCAAATAATACTCCAAACGTATGTTAAGCCTCTCAATTTGTCCATTTGTCTGTGGATGGTAAGCTGTAGACTAATGCACGTTAACTCCCTACAACTTAAACAACTCATTCCAAAATGCACTTGCAAAGATGGCATCCTGTCAGATACAATAGTTTGAGGCATCCCATGAAGCTTAAACACCCCATTAAAGAAGATATGGGCACTATAGCAGCAGTGAATGGCCTGGTCAAACTAAAGAAGTGACCATATTTAGAAAATCTGTCTATCACAAACAAAAACTGCTACTTTCCCTCTTGATTTTGGCAAACCATCAATGAAATCCATGGAGATATGCTGCCAAGCTCTTTCATGAATATGTAGAGGCTGTAATAGACCTGGATAGGGCACCTTTTCAGTCTTGCACCTCTGACACACATCACAGACCCCTACAAACTCCCACAACATACTGTTAACCCCTGGCTACAAGAAATACTTCTATATCCTTTGGTAAGCACCCTACACCCCCAAAATGTCCACCCACAGAAGAAGCATGGAACAACTCCATCAATTTCTACCTTATACCCCCTAGGAACCCACATACAAGGCTGAGTTGTGATAGAGTATCCCTTGTTTGATGGAGTAAATGCGAGGTCTCGAAAAAGGAACTGCAACTGCAGTCATCAGCTCCTGAAGAACTAGATCACTATCATATGTTTGTTCTCTGTCCACTAACTAAGTAGGTAAGGCTGTTGTAATAGCCTGACATTCACCAGTATCGGAGAAACTACAATGTATGGACAGGGCATCTACAACTCTATTGAACTTGCCATGTCTGTACTTGATTTCAAAATCCAGTCACAACAATTTAACCAACCACTTCTTTTGTATCTGTGTATGCACTTTCTGTCCAAGTAAATGCTTCAAGCTCATGGCCAGTGAGTATAACAAATTATCTACCCCCAAGTAATGCCCCACTTAGTCACAGCCGTAATGAAAGCCAAATATTTCTTTTCATAAGTTGAAAGTCCTTGCTTCCTGGGCATAGAGCCTGAACATGGTAGGCCAATGGTCTTCCTCCTTGTGATAACACAACACTAATGCCTATGTCACAGGCATCAGTTTCTATGGTAAATGGTTGAGAAAAATCAGGTAAGGCTAAAACAGGAGTTTGAACCATAGCAGATTTAATGAGTTCAAAATCTCTTTAAGCATTAGCATTCCACAGGAAGTTATCCCTCTTCAATAACTCAGCCAAGGGCTGAGCTATCAATCCATAGTTCCTCACAGACTTCTAGTAATACCCAGTTAACCCAACGAAACTTTTGAGTTCTTTCATATTTTGAGGCACAAGCCACCCCACCATAATTGCAATCTTGCTGGGATTAGTGCAGACTCCTTCATTGATAATGTGTTCCAAGTAATCCACATGCTATTGGCCAAATGAGCATTTAGATGGTTTGACATATAAGGTGTGTTGTCTGAAAATGGCTAAGGTGGTGATAGGGTGCTATTTATGGGTAGACTGGTAAGGGTTGTATACTAATATGTCATAAAGACTAGTATGAACTTCCTAAGGTGTTTAGCAAAGATTCGGTTCGTGAGAGACTGAAAGGTAGCAGTAGCATTGGCAAGACCAAATGGCATGACAAGGAATTTAAAATGGCTATGGTGGGTTCTAAAGGCAGTTTTGAATTTGTCATCAGGATTCATTCTTATCTGGTGATAGCCTGATAGAAGATCCAACTTAGTAAAATATCTTTATCCTTTAAGCTCATCAAGCAAATGATCAATTATTGGTATTGGAAACTTGTCTTTGATGGTGAGGGCATTTAATTTTCTATAGTCAACACAGACTCTCCATGAACCATCTTTTTTAAGTACTAGTCACACTGGTGAATCAAAGGGATTGTGGCTAGGCTGTATGTATTGAGAAGCTAGCATTTCATCGCACAATTTCTCCATTTCTATTTTCTGAGGTACGGGATATCTATAGGGTCTGATGTTAACTAGTTGGGTTGTAATGGAATAGAGTGGTCACAGGATCTGGAAGGGGGAGGGCGGTAGGTTTTTCAAACACATATGCATACTCATTTAACACAAGAAATCGGGAATGTTACTTGGGACAGTTGAAGTGACAGATATCTGTAATAGTTGTTTGTCCACAAGGGTACCTTCTGATTTAAAAACTTGTGTAAATCTTTGCTAGACATTTCCTTGCAGTTACCATATTTTTCAATTCCTTCTAATTGCACTTCTTATCCCTCCTTCTCTAAAAAAAAGTTCTAGGTTTACAATGTCAAACTTCACTGGACTGATAGTCCTAAGCCAATCCAAGCCCAATACCATGTCATTAGACACTAAGCTCAGGATCCTAGCAGCATGCACAAACTATTGACCTTGCATCTCCCACTAGAAATCCTTGCAAACCAGATTGTTGACCAAAAATGTGCCATCAGCTAGCTTAACCCTCAAAGGAGTAGCTGGAGTGAGAACAATTAAGTTCTTCGGCTGTACATTCATTTAAGAATGTATATGTGCTGCTAGTGTCCACCAAAATAAACAACCTGGCCTTCTTCACCTTGCCTTTTACTACTAGAGAATTGTCAGTACCACCACTATTCAAAGCCTGCATTGTCACTCTTTTTTGTTAGATTTCCAAGTTCTGTAACACAGACACCTCTATGAAGCATCACTAAACTCATCATCATTCCACCCCTCTGGAGGAAAACCCCCTGAATCATCTCCTTGCAAGGCATTCAACTGCCTCTTAGCCTCATAGACGTGTCCCAATTAATACTTGTCCCCACATTTGTAGCAAGCCCCCTTTAGAAGTTTCCTTCATGAGCTGTTGTAGAAGCGTTCTTATTTGCAGGTGGCCTCAAATTAGTTGAATCCCACTTCTTAGGTGCTAAAGTAGTGCTATGAGTTGGTAACATAGGAGGACGAATGCCTGGAGCAGTTCTTCATATCCTTCTCCTGGCCTTATTTGAAGGATCCTCCAGCTTGGCTAATTGAAATGCTCGAGCCAAAGAATCTGGCTCCATCATCGTCACAAGCGTTCTCAGCTCTTCCTCAAGACCACTAATGAAATTGGATATGAAATATTCCTCCTCCAGTGTAGGATTATAATGAACCATCCGAGATTGGAGCTCCTCAAACCTCTCCTGATACTCTGCAAGAGAGTGGCGCTACCTTAGCTTGTTAAACACCCCCACAACGCCACTATACGACCATTCACTAAACCTCCTACATAAGGCAGGAACAAATTCTTACCAACCTAATTCACGATGCCTGAATTTCCAGCCCCCGAACCAGATGTTTTAGGATGTTTCTCAAAGTAAAGGGCCGGCACTCAAACCTTATGGTCATCGGGAATCTCATAGATCTCGACAGTTTTTCACATTACCTAGTCCATTCTTTAGGATTGTCGACATTAAAAAAAGGAAAATATAGGTGTTGCAGCTGATAGGGATTCTTACCTCGTGGTGGAGGAATCCTGATCTCTTGCTCAACAACTCTGTTCATCGGAGTTTGACCTCGAGGAGCCTGAAACTGAATGCCAGGCTTAACTAGCCGACGAGCCTGATGCGGCAATGACAGTAATCCAGGGTCACAGTTCTGAACTCTATGTGGCTCCTCCACACTAGAAATAATCACCTCCGTATGCAGATGACCTAATTCCATTCAGCGGATAAACTCATCAATTTGACCATCTAGGCAATCAAAAAGCCCTTCCAAACGGCCTTCCATGCCATCCAAACGAGTAGTATTCGTTGCGAATTGATGTAAATGCACCTCAATCAAGCAACTAAGTCATGCAATTGATTGGTGCGTGTAGTGAATTGATTATCCAAGACCGCAATTTGAGCTCGAAGCTGCGATTCTGTTTCACCAGAGCGGGCGGTGAAGAGATTGAAGCTTTCCTCGATGCGTTTGGTTGCCATCGTGCCAAGAGAGTGCTCTGATACCATGTTTGTAACACTCTGGGCGATCGAAGTAGTCCTGACGAGCTCTAATGGCAGAAATGGGGTGAGAAATGAGGAAGAAGAGAACAAAATTCGTAACAGAATAGACAGATAAATAGAGTAAATGAGGGAAAATGGTTTCTTATCTGTTAATAGCCGTTGGGTTTTTACATGCGGGTTATTTAACCCATATGGGATAATTACGATTTATTCCTTAATACTCTTCCCGCCATACAACTTCATCCTTTATAATTTCTGTTTTATACAATTAAGTCTTGGTTGTTACAGATTGTTGCTGCTCTCTCCGACCCTATTCATTATGTCATGCGCAAGTACCCGCGTAAATATGAATTTTCTCTAGAAAAAGGTGCATTCTAAAATATGATTTGTATCTTTCGGTGGTTGTCCTATTGCTAATGTAAGAGAAATAAATGAGTTTTACTTTGTTGTGTGGGAAATATCGGATGGTGGCGAAACAAAAAAGAATTATGGCAAAGTAAAAAAAATATTTATGGCAATATTCACGTTCCTATATATAAATAATGGTATTATGACGATAAAACTTTATCCTTGCTGACGTAGTTAAGCCCAGAACTGAATAGAATATATGTAGTTATGTAGTTACTAAAAAGAAGGCTACGCCTATGGCAGGAGACCACACCTAGCTAGCACATGACAAATATAGTTTCTCTTCATCGACATACTCTCAAGTTGAGACCCTTGCTTAAACTGCTTCTATATA